AATATCCACTCCTCATTCTCACACTGTCTTGGCTTTTGCTGAATTTTTCCATGAGAAAACCACTTCATTGGCAAATCTTATATCTGATCAACAGAGGCTAGAATCAAATCGTTCAATTTGTCACCTACAGCATTTAATTAAGGCTACTAGCAACAGGACTCCAAGGAGCAGGATGAGGCCAACTTGCAGTACTGACCTCAACCGTGCCCTCCAGAGGCCCAGCTGAACAAACACTTAAAGCATCAGATCTACCTTAGAAAGCCAGGTGGCTTTCTCTTAAGTCTCTGCATTGACCCCTCCACTTGGCCTGAAGCATTAATCCAGGCACAGCAGGACACACTAACAATTGCCTAGACTCTGCCTTGACCCACAGGGAAGAAGTCCAGGGAAATTCTATCACCCACAACAACCTTAGTCAGTGAATACAGGCTGACCTGTATGAGCAGAGTATCATTGATCACTACAACTAAAGTCACAGAAAAATTTCAAGTCACTGTGTTTTCAGGAGAGAGCAAGTTATTGTGTGACTTCCACACAAGTAGTACAGTCTGAGGGCCACACATGGTGCTGTGATTTGTTTCCACAGTTAGCTACAAACACGGTCATTCAAAGCCTTATATTGGGTGGCAGGGTCATGATTACTGACGTTATCTATTTCACATTTGGAGACTCCTTGACTCAGCAACCACAGCCACATTACTTTCCAACTGGACCCGCAAGGTTTGCACCCTCTGGCCGACCAGGCTTCAGTTGGTCAGTCTAGCTAAAGTTATGTCATTTTTGTTGATCTTTTCCAAGAATTAACTTTTGAGTTGATTTTCACTATCACTTTTTCTGTTCCCTATTTCATTTATTTCCACTCTAATCTTTATTGTCTCCTTCCTTTTTGCTTGCTCTGAGTTTGGTTTGCTTTCTTCTAGTTTCTTAAGATAAAAGATTAGGTTATTGATTTGTTATCTTTTTTGCTTTTCCAATATAAATATGGACAGCTATAAATTTCCCTCTAAGCACTACTTTGGCTGCATCCCATGAGTTTTGGTATGCTGTGTTTCTATTTTCATTCATCTCAAAGTATTTTCTAATTTTCCATGTGATTTCTTCTATGACCCTTTGGTTCTTTAGAAGTATGTTGTTTAATTTCTGTGATTGTGAATTTCACAAATTCCCTTGTTTTTGATTGCTAATTTCATTCCTTTGTGGTCTGAGAACACTTTGTATGATTTCAATCTTTTTAAATGTATAGATGCTTGCTTACATCCTTACATATAGTCTTTCCTGGCGATTGAGCCACATATACTTGAGGAGAATAAGAATTCTGCTGTTGTTGAGTGGAGTGTTCTATAGATGTCTGTTAGGACTCTGCTTGTCTGCTTGACTTGCACAGCTATTACTTTTTTTTTTAAAGGAGACAACCTTGATATGGGATATTTCTCCTCCCGTTGGCATAATAATCTCTCTTAAGTTTTTGCCTGTTTTAACATAATGCTTGGGAAGTTTTCTAGGGCAGTGGAACTGATCACAAGAATTTACCTAAATTTCTTTGGGTCAGTTTCTCATTCTCTACTGGGTCATCTTTATCAGCATTGTAAACCCAAACTAGGACAGAGAGACCAGATAGTATTCAATGCCTCACCTATGGTTTCCTACAGCAGTTCATCTGTCTCAGGGAAATCTCCTTGAGAAGGACAAAGCTTCCTTATAGCAGCCAGAACCCACTGGGGGAAAACAACGACTATGAGACCTCTTAACATCATCTCAGAATGCTTATAAGGTTGACATGATAGAAGGGCTGAACTGTAAGATGGCCCAGCTATTGCTATTCTTCCTTACCAAGCATCACATGCCTTGTCCCTCATCTCCCAAGTGAACCAGCCAAACTACTAATGGTTCATCTGTTTTTTGTCTATAGTGGCAGTGAATTTCCCTCCATTTGTGTTTAGTGTGCGTGCATCTCTATAAATGATGTCTGAAAAGGGTTGGAAACTTCTGTATTCCCAGGATGAGTCATATTACTGGTTGTTAAATGAAGTACACCTGAGGATAACTGTGAGGAACTACCCCTCCATTCCCCAACCCTACCCAGAGAAGAGTTAGCAACAACCAAGGAAATGTCTGGCAGCTGACTTTGAACCTATTTCCTGGCACTTGGCCTGCAAGCACCTTGCTAATTCCTCCTCATGAACAGCAAATAAAGCCAAAGACCATTTATCATTTGGTTGGTCATACAATGTGGTCAACATGTATGCTACCGATTCCCTGGCCTTCCCTCAAAACCTGTTAATCTGCTCATGAGATCCTCATCCTTCTTACAAAAAGCCATGTCTCTGTCAGCATCCCATCCTCATTGCCTAAACTGTGAAGAACTGTGCAAGATCTAAGATTTTACTCTACTTTCAAACAACCAAGTTAGAGGGACACAATTTCTAGATGCTGGCAGAAGACACGAGACTTCTAAGTCAGAAACAAAGGACTTCATTACAGTACAGCAAGCAGCATGAATGTGAGCATATTTGTGTCACTTCCCCTTACCTTCAAGTCCAATGAAGGCAATGCAGAGGGCCCCACATGGATGCCTACAGGCATGGTGAATTGTATTACAGGAGGGACCCAAATCTTTTATAATGGGCAATAAGTATGTGTGTCCTTTGCTCTAGAGGGAAACATTATCTTTGTGGTCCAAGGCTGCTCACTACACAAACATCCTTGAAAAGATAGTCCAGAACAAAGGTAGTAGTGTCTCTGCTCACAAGACCTGCATAAATGTGAAAGACTGGAGAAAAATTGTCTCCTAATACCGCTGTCCTCACATCTCCTCATCAAATCCTCACAGCAACCTTACTAAATAGGTATAACCGGCCCTGTTTTACAGATGAAAAACTCAAGTCCAAACAGGTGAAATAAATTACTCCAGGTGATCCAGGATCAAACCCAGGCCTGCCTCATTCTATTTCTGTGCCTTGCCCACCCTACAGTGGAACTTGAGGAAGGAAGGGACCCTGAGAGGAGGAAGGTGATGAGAATCCTCTTGAGTCATAGAGGAATGCAGGGAGAGTGAGAGGAGATGAGAGATGCCAAGGACCAGATTTGCAGGACCTTAGAGATCACAATAAGGACTGTGGATTTTTGTCTAAGTGTGATGGGGAGATGCCAGAAGATTTTGACAAAAAGCAGGACATGACCTATGTTTTAAAAGAATTACTGAGGGCAGCGTTCAGTGCTCACGCCTAGCACTTTGGTAGGCCAGGTTGGGAGGATCGTCTGAGGCCAGGAGTTCGAGACCAGCCTGGGGAACACAGTGAGATTCTGTCTCTACAAAAAATTAAAAAAATTAGCTGGGCGTGGTGGCACGCACTTCTGGAGTCATAGCTACTCAGAGGGCTGAGACAAGAGGATCACTTGAGCCCAGGAGTTTGAGGTTGCAGTGAGCTATGATGACGCCACTGCATTCTAGCCTGGGCTACAGAGTGAGAGAAAAAAAAAATTACTGAGTTTCCTCTCTGTAAAATAGGGAGAATAGTACCTGCCCCATAAAGTTATCAAGAGGAGTAAATGAAAGGGATTAAGCAGGAAGATGAGGGTAAGGGTCTTAGCTGGTGCCAGGCAGAGTAGGCAGTTGAGTGGATATTGGCTACGATGATGACACAGAGTGTGCACTGAAGAATTCGGGTAGGGCTGGGAGCTGGAGATGGTAATGACATAGAGGGTCTGTGCGGATAGGCTAGAGTCCAAGAGATGGTTCAGGGACAATTCCTATAGTCAGCCTGGCAAAAATGACTTGGGGTACAGTCCCTGAGTCAGGCACACTGCCACTCAGGAGCCTGCTGGTAGATCCAGAGAGTGAAGAGGAGCACAGGGCTCTCTAAATAAGCCGGAGGCAGCAAGGATCATAAAATGGCAGATCCGGGGGGTCTATGTAGGAGGAAGATGGGGCGAGGAGGAGCGCACTTCAGGTAGATTGGGTGAACACGTCCTGTTCAAAGAAGGAGGTTGCTGATGAGATCATGGAAGTTTAAGTCCTACCTCCTTTTCCACTGCCCTGGTATACAACCTCCAGGCCCAGCAGATTGCACATCTGGGAGCCCTGCCTGCCCCATCTGGCTTCTGTGAACCTAATAAGGGAGAGAATGCACATGGAAAAAGAACACAGGAAAGAAAAAAATCACCAAGGCCAATGTTCAGGAAGCACTGGTAATTTTAACTTGCAACTCATCCAAGAAGAGCCTAATAGTCATAAGTATATGTAATAAGCTCCCCATCCCCATCCTCCAGCATGCATCATCACTCAGCTGCGGCTGGAACCGGGACTGTGCGTGTCTAGCACAGCGCTATTCACTCAGCAAGCTTTTTGACGGCTTAAACTTCAAAAAATGGTCTGCTTAGGGGCAGACTTTGCTTCAGTTCCAGGCCTCAGGAGGCGGGGTGCGGGTGGGGGAGGAGACAGACCAGGACACCAAACATGCAGAAGGGGAGGGGTCCTCAAATAGGCTGAAAGCCAGAATGATCCCTGCCTGGCCTGCCTCACCGGTCGAAGTGAGGCACTAAAGCCTGAGAAGGCCCTTCGCGCCTGCAAAGGGCCGTTTGTAATGATTACGGTTGTTGTGATGACGCCACTACCCCGCCTGCCCTGAGCTCTGCCAGTGCAGAAAAGGAAACCCCAGGGGAGGCAGAGGCCAGCGGAGATTTCTCAAGCTAAGTGATCCCTTCCAACCGCGACGGGCAGGAAGGGCGACCCTGCGAAGCCACTTCCAGGTCTTGCGACCGGAGCACAGTTACCACGGAAACGCCCCTCCTGAGGCCCCGCCAGTCTAAAGCTTCCGTCCACTGGATTCTCGCTGCCAGACGCGCCTCCAGGGCAGGGTCAAGTCTGCAGCAGACACGCCCCACTCTGGGCACATCAGGGTCTGAGGACCACGCCGAAGCGTCACATCCGCCCTCTTCCTCGGCCGGATAGAGAAGGGGCGGAGCTCCACCGGTAGGCGCTGCTCTTGTGCGTCACTTCCGGTGAGCCCAGCGGCGACAACGGCAACATGGCCCTGAACGGCGCTGGTGAGGACTTGGGCTGCAGGGGCTTGTGGCTGCGGGGTGCGGGAGGCAGTCGGCTCCGGCAAGATCCCCGGCTCCTTGTGCCTCTCTTCCCCAGAAGTCGACGATTTCTCCTGGGAGCCCCCAACTGAGGCAGAGACGAAGGTGCTGCAGGCACGACGGGAGCGGCAGGATCGAATCTCCCGGCTCATGGGCGACTACCTGCTGCGCGGTTACCGCATGCTGGGCGAGACGTGCGCGGACTGCGGGGTGAGGAGAGACTCGGGCGAGTGAGTGGGGATGCGGTCGCGGGCCAGGTCGCATGACCTTTTCTCAGATGTCCCCTCTAGACCCCATCGCCAGCTATCTCACCCCTGCCTTGTGTGCTCTCTGATCCCTAGACGATCCTCCTCCAAGACAAACAGCGGAAAATCTACTGCGTGGCTTGTCAGGAGCTCGACTCAGATGTGGATAAAGATAATCCGGGTGAGGGTCAGTGGAGAGGGGATTCAGTGGAGAAGAAGCATAGTGAGTGGTGATAGAAGCCTGGGAACAATAAGCCTGGGAGGTGACAGTGAGTCTGTGGGTTGGGGGTGGGGCATACGGCGCTTTCCCCTTTTGGGACTACTTATTCAGTAAGAACACAAGCACCTCCTGTGTGCCACACACTGCGAGAGAGTTTGAGCTCCATCAGGCACAGTCCTGATGGAGAGATGAAGCTGGGGCGTAAATAACTGTAATACAAAGTAGAAAGTGGATGAATTGCCTTATAGTGGAGGCAGGGAAAACACCTCAACCACAGAAAGGGCAGAGCAGTAGGTAGAAAGGAGGTGACTCAGGGCTCAGGTGGGCCAGGCATCCTGACCATTCCACCCACTTTCTCCTCTTTTAGCTTTGAATGCCCAGGCTGCCCTCTCCCAGGCTCGGGAGCACCAGCTCGCCTCTGCTACAGAGCTCCCCTCAGCCTCTCGGCCTGCCCCTCAGCCCCCAGTACCCCGGCCAGAGCACTGTGAGGGAGCTGCAGCAGGGCTCAAGGCAGCCCAGGGCCCACCCCCTCCGTCTGTGTCTCCAAATGCAGGTGTGGTGGCCTGCACACAGGCAGCCCTCCTGCAGAAGCTGACCTGGGCCTCAGCTGAGTTGGGTTCTAGCACGTCCCTGGAGACTAGCATCCAGCTGTGTGGTCTTATCCGGGCATGTGCAGAGGCCTTGCACAGCCTGCAGCAGCTGCAGCACTAAGAAATGCCCCTGAGAAAAACCCTCTAGAAAAACAGCTGTTCCTCTGTGTGGTTTGTTCTTTTCTTGGTTCTGAGTATGCATGCTGGCCCCAGCTCCACTCATCTTTTTCCTACTTTTGGCTTTTGTGTGGTCTGCTCTCCTTGATGCCCTGAGAGATGAGTTAAGCTTGTTTCTGCTCCGTTTCCCCTGTCAGAGGATGAGGGTATATGATACCCCCTTTCTTTTCTGAGGAAGAGGCTGTCGCCTTTTCAAAGCTAGGATCAAGAGGGGTGGTCTCTGGCAGCATCCCTGTAGCCTCATAGGCCATCCAGTGCCCTTCCCCACCTGCGAGTGAGATTTTGGGTTTCAGTCTCCTTGGTGGCTTCCCCACCTTTCGCTGAGCATCCTGATTCTATCATCCTGTGCCATCTCATGCTCACCGTGGGTACTCAGACGTTGACAGGAGGTTGTGGTGACCCAATCGACAGGTTGCATGTTAGGAGCCAAGTATGGACTTGCTCCGGTCTCCGACCCTCATCTTTAGATCCTTTTCCTTGAGAGAGTAATTGGGCAGAACAAAATGTATGTGTGTGGAGGAGGGTAGCAAATAGAACCGCGAAGGAACCACTCCTGCCCCTTTTTCTGTCTTCTGTTTGTGGGTGCCCGATTGATTACCTTTTCTCTGCTTTGAGCGACGTGGTCCCACAGCCGTTGCCTTTTTAAGAGAGGCCCGGCCCAGCGGAGGGGGTGGGGCAGAGGCGGAGTCTGCGGAGCTGGGGAAGGAACAAAGCGCGGCCTGCGGGCGGCGGCTGGGCTCGGGCGGCGGCTGGGCTCGGCCAGCGAGGGCCGCGGGGTGCGGGGCCTGCGGGCGGCGGCCCGGGCGGAGCGTTGGAGGTAAGGAGGCGGCGTCGCCGTCCGCGCCGGCCCGGCCATGAACGGGCTACCTTCAGCCGAGGCGCCGGGTGGCACGGGCTGCACCCTGGCCGGGCTTCCGCCACTGCCGCGCGGCCTCAGCGGCCTCCTTAACGCGAGCGGGGGCTCGTGGCGGGAGCTGGAACGCGTCTACAGCCAGCGCAGCCGCATCCACGATGAGCTGAGCCGCGCCGCCCGCGCCCCGGACGGGACCCGCCACTCGGCCAGCGCGGGACCCGCTGCTGGCCCACGGCGTCCTCTTAACCTCGACTCGGCGCTAGCCGCGCTGCGCAAGGAGATGGTGAGTGGTGGGCGATGAGCCAGCTGGGCTGGGGGCTGCTGCGGAGCAAGAGGATCCCGGGGCGGAGCGTAGAGGCATGAACCTGGACAGGCAGCCTGGGTCTCAGAGCACCTCCAGAAGCCCGTTGGGGCACAGGGGTTATGGTAACAATAATTAGTAATAGTGGCCGGGCTTGGGGGCTCACCCTTGTAATCCTAGCATTTTGGGAGGCCGAGGTGGGAGGATCACTTGAGGCCAGGAGCTTGAGACCCCATCTCTTCAAAAAATACAAAGATTAGCCGGGTGCGGTAGTGCGCCTGTAGTCCCAGCTACTTGGCAGGCTGAGGCAGGAGATGGCTTGAGATTGTAGTGAGGTTTGATGACACCACTGCATTCTAGCCTGGGCAACAGAGTGAGACCCTATCTCAAAAAACAAAAACTTCCAAGATAATTGGCTCAGAGCAAAGAAAAAAAATTTGTTACCGTTTGTGGCAGTAGCTACCATATATTTTTAAATGTTTTAGTCCTGTTACTTCATTTTGTCCTGCTGGATTCGTGTTATCCCCATTTTACAGATGAGGAGGGTCAGTGACTTGCCTAAAGTTTCACAGCTTGCAGGTGGTGTCTGATGTTCACAAAAACTTTTATTTAGGAAGAAGCAGAAAGACTAGCTAGGACATGGTTTGGGCTGGGGGCCCTGGATTCCAGGAAGTTGGGACTGGGGGTGGCCTGGACCCCAACTCCAGCCCACCCTCAGTTGTCTGCAGGTGGGGCTGCGGCAGTTGGACATGTCCCTGCTGTGCCAGCTGTGGGGCCTATATGAGTCAATCCAGGACTACAAACACCTGTGCCAAGACTTGAGCTTATGCCAGGACCTGTCATCCTCCCTGCACTCGGACAGCTCCTACCCACCTGATGCCGGCCTATCTGATGATGAGGAGCCTCCTGATGCCAGCCTGCCCCCTGACCCACCGCCCCTTACTGTGCCCCAGACGCACAATGCCCGTGACCAGTGGCTGCAGGATGCCTTCCACATCAGCCTCTGAAGAGCTGGGGGGTGGGTGGCATGCACCCATGCAAAAGGCTCAGAAGCTCACTCGTCAGCAAGTCCTCAGACTGCAGTGCCTGCTCTTTCCCCCATACCGCCTCACCTCACAGGAGGGCAAGGCCTGTGCCACCTCAGAGGCAAAACTGCCAACCCCTCTCTCCTGTCTTGGGTTAGCTGGCACTGGGGCGGGTACCTAGGTTATAGCCTCTGCTCATGGCACTGGGCCCCCACTTCTCCCACATGTGTGTGTCCCCAGCTTGGCCAACCCTGATTTTGGCGATGGGGCCCAAAGCATCTTACTCTCCCCTTGGCGTCTCTGTGATTGGGATGAGTGCCTGGCTCCTATCTCCTTCTAGCCTTTTGTTGCTACTGGCAGCTGCTGGCTCAGGGGCATCCCACCTCTGATCTCTGGGTTCCACTCCCCTGGACAAGGGCTCCAGGACCCGTCCTTGCACCTACCCAGGGCCAAGAGGGCCACAGGCTCCATGCTGGATATTTAAGTTTAGGGGCCAGCCTTCTGGGCGCGTAGATAAATAAATACTCTCTCCGCGTTGTTGTCTTCTGACTGCCTGGCTCTGGGGCGGGAATATAGCGGTGTTTCTGGCAAGTGCGGCCCCGCGCTCCGTCGGCAGGTGGCGCCCGAGACCCCGAGTGGAAGAAAGGCTTGAGCAGCGGCGGGATGCGAGTCCGCCCTCCCTAGGGCGGGGTTGAGGAGCGTTCCAGGCTGGCCTAGCCTGGCTGCGCAGCTGGGTGACTGCGGTCGAGTCACTTCCCCTCTCAGGCCGGCGACCTCAGAGTCCAATCTCCCCCACCCCCACCTCCGCCCCTTCCCAACTCGCTTTGGGCTTTCTCGGCGGGCCGGGAAGGACGAAGAAGCAGCCGCCCATCTTGAGGAGAGAAACTTTCCACCCCGAGTGAGGGCGGAGTTGGGGCAGCACAGGAAATGGGTGGGCGGGAGTCAGCGGACCAAGGGGCCCCTCGGCTGGAGAAGGGAAAGGAGCCTTCAGGAAGGGCCTGGCAGCTAATGCCCAGCGGGTGGGAGAAAAGAGCGGCAGAGGTAGAAGGGAGTGAAGGTCTCAGTATCCCGGGCCTCCCCAGAGGCCAGGGAAGTCCCGGAAGGGGGACAGGGCCGGCGGCGGCGAAGAGTGATTGGGGTCCCAGACACCCCCATTCCGCACTTAGTCTCATGCAGACCGCCCATCTGCCCCCGCAGCACCAGGGAGGGGTCTCTACAGTTGTATGTAAAAGGCTTCCTTTTTCAGAGGAAACCGAGGACCACAGCGCTGGGACTGGGAGCCAAACCCAGGTGTCAAGCCCACCAGAAGCCTGCACATTCGGGGACAGTGGGTACTCAGACCCCTCACGCACACACTACACCCGACAACTTCCTGAGTCGTAGAGAAGAGGAGAGGCCGCGAGGTCGCACACTTATGCGTCCGGGCATTTCATCCCCATGCCCTGCTGAACAGTCACTTGCCTCCTGGAGATGCCACGCAGCTGGCACTCCTGGCAGATGTGACGTCCTGTTCGAATCGAGTATTTTTGTTTTGTTTTCCTTTTTCTGGGAGGCAGTGACAGACAAACCGAGTATTTTATCACGCACCAGGCTTCGGTCCATTCACAAACCTTGCTGAGCAGCGGGAGAGAACAAACCGATGCGTTGCCCCAGGGCAGTTCTCTGACAGGGCCTGACACTCGCAGATGCTCATTACCATGCTGGGCGGGAGGGTAGGCGATAAGGGCTCTAATCTAGGTGTTGACCTAGCCGCTAACGCCCGGGGCAGGCTTCCTGGGGAGGGAGAGTAAACAAACACACGCGCAGGCACACTTTCCCCGTCCCCGTCCAACGAATTCCATTTAATGAGACCTGGTAAAATCAGCAGGCTCTGTGCTAAATGCTTTCCCAAGTTGCAGCTTCTCAATGACTATAAAAGGTGGAACTATGATTGTCCCCAGTTAACAGACGTTGAAACTGAGATTCGGACTATGGTGCTTTGTCCAAAGTTACACATCTGGTTGGAAGTCAGGATTTGAACCTCCAGCTACTTGTGGGAGGTTGGCATTATCTTCCCACTTGACAGCTGAGGAACCAGGTTCTGAGAGAGTGGGGGTCAGTGCTGCCTACAGGTAGGGCCACCAAGGTTGGCCCCTGACTCCTTTCTGCTTTGGTTAAGACGTGGGTGGCTACACCCCGGAATTGAGGACAGTTGGCTCTGGTCCAGATTCTCAGTGTGACCCCTGAGCAAGTCCCTTCCCCTTTCTGAGTCTCTGTTTTCCTAGCTTGTGAAATGGGGCCACCCAGTACATATCTCCCAGGGCTGCCAGCAGGAAGGGAGGAGGCCGGGGCAGCGCTCTCCACGGCGGCACCAAGTTGTTGGTTGCCCTCTCCCCAGGCCCACGCGCCCCGCACCCGGCCCGCGCGTCTACACCGCCTCAGCGTTGCGGACAGGAGTCACCCCCTCCACCACTGCTCCCCACACCGCGCCCCGTCGCGGCGCGAGGCCCCGGAAGCCGGGTCGCCCCGCCTCCGGTGCTCCTGCCCCGGCCCCCGCCCCGCGGCAGAGCCCCGCCCGCCTTCCGACGGGGGTGCGGCTCCAGGAAACGGCGCGCTCTGCTCGCTCACTGCTCCGCGCTCCAGGCACCCAACGCGCACCAGACGACCCCGCCGACTCAGCCAGACCACCCCACGGGCCCCTGCGGCGACAGCCGGGAGAGTGGGCCTGGGTCCGAGCCTCAGTCAACTCCGCAAGGACGGGGCGGGTGGCGCGGATCGGAGCCCTAAAAGCCATGGGGACCTGGACTGGGCCAGCGGTCGTGGGCCAGCGGGAGCCCTTGGCCTGAGAAGCGGACGACGGGGCTGGAGCCATGACCTCGGTGTGGAAGCGCCTGCAGCGCGTGGGCAAGCGGGCCGCCAAGTTCCAGTTTGTGGCCTGTTACCATGAGCTGGTGTTGGAGTGCACCAAGAAATGGTGAGTGGGAGGGAGGCCTGGGGGACTCCCCCAGACCAGCTGGGACCCCATCTGGCCTTTTGAGCCTGAGAGAAACCTGCCCCCTAGCCCAGTGACCAAAGGGGCTCCCCACCAGCTTGGGACCTGGTGTTCCAGGCACAGAAACTCAGAAGTGCCCTTGCAACTTGTGGAACTCCTAGAGTTGGGGGTGCCGGCAGCCTTCCGAGCCTGAGAATCTGTACCCACATTTTTCTCAGCTGTGGTCAGGACTGGGGGAGGAAGACTGCATGTCTTTGGCCAGAGAGATGGCTCAGGGTGGCATTGGAACAGGGAGCAAGTTCTGAGGTCTGCAGGTGGCCAGGGCTGAGGCAGACACTTCCGTGGACCTTAGCCCAGCGCAGCACAAAGATGTTGCCCCTTCCTCCCCTGCCCTCTGGTTGAGCCAGAAGAACCCCCCAACCCCCGCCCCTTCAGCCAGAGTGAGTTCTGGGAGGCTGGAGATGTCTCCACAATGTCCTTAAAAGGGGAAACTGAGTGCTGGGAGGAATGAGGAGGGAGGCGGGGAGCGGCTTAAAGGGGCCTGAGGGCCTAGGAGGTTGTGGGTCTGGGAGGAGAGGGCCTGCGGAGGGCAAAGTGGCGGGCGAGGGGCGATACATGAGAGGGTGCAGGCCCTGGCCCCAGGGGCACCTCGTTCACAGGCCCCCACCCGCAGCTGCCCAGGCCCCTGCGTCACACCCTAAATATACGTGCTCGCTGGTGTCAGCTTCCCTTGGCTGGATTAGGGCACAGCTGTGGGGGCCTCGCCCGCCAGGCGGGACTAAATTTAGGCTCCCCAGGGGAAGGGCTGGGGCGGGAAGGGACCATGGGGTCCAAGGGGAGGGGAGTGAGGAGGAGGCCAGGGTCCCTTGGGCAGCTGCCATATCCCTGGTCTTGTCCACACGGGGCCTCCCGAGGGCCATTGACTCCATTCAGCAGAGACCCAGAGAGGTCAGGGGCTGACAGGGATAGCACAGCACAGGGCTGCCACTTGAACTCTGGCCTCTGGCTTCTGCTCCAGCATCTTGGGTGACGCTAAGGGGACGCTGGGCATTGTCCCGGAGAGCAGGCTGAGGGTGCCGGCAGTGTCAATGTGGCTGAGTCACAGGCAGCAGTGGGTAGGGCCTTCTGGGCTTTTTAGCCTGGAGCCTAGGCCAGGAAGCTGCCCCTGCCCAGGTTGCAGCTCCCCAGGAGGGCGTGTCCAGCCTGAGTCAGGCTGCCCAGCCAGGCCCCGCCCTCCCCAGGCACCCCTGGCACTTCCCCTTTCTGGGAAGGCCCCATGGCTACCCTTGCTTGGCTTCTGCCTGTAGTCTGGGGCTGGGGAAGGGAGCCTGGCTCTGGGCCAGAGGGCTCTAGGCTCAGCTGTGTGACCTTGCTTGGCCCCTGGCCTCTCTGGGCCTCAGCGTCCTCAGGGGTTAACAGGAGAGCCAGTTATCCTGGCTTGGCCTCCAGAGGGGCAGTAGGCAGGGCAAATCCGAGCATCCTGGTATGGCAGTGGGTACAGGCAAGGAGGGCTCTTGCGCTGCCCTCAGCCAGGTCATCCCCTTAACCATCCCCCACTCCTGGGCAGCAGTTGAACACTCTAACCCAAAGGGGCCATTTCCCTGTAGGCCCAGCCACGTGTTGGCTCCATGTCTGGGAGTGGGCCTGCACGGCCATCACTCTCCTCTCACTTTGCCTCCCCGTATCTCTTTGCCTCTCCTGTGTCTGCCCTGGTATATGCTGTTCAGCTTAGATGTCACCTCCTGGAAGCCTTCCCTGATTGTCCCCCCCCACTGTGGGGGGGGGGTCAGAAACCTCCTGGGCTCCACTGTCATCATCTCCCTTCAAAGCTATGGTCCAGGGCTCTGAGTTCAGGAGAGTGGGGGTGCCAGCTGAGCCTCCTTCAGTCCTGGGCCCAGCAAAGGGCTGGGCATGGCAGGTTGGGGGCATGGTGTCTAATGACAGGCTGACCCTCTGCCTCTCTGGCCTCACCTCCCACCCTCTGTACCTCCCTCTGACCTTCCTTCTTGCCCCAGCCTCAGACCTTTGGACTTGCCATTCCTTCCACCTGGAACCCTCTTTCTCCAGATCCTCATATAGCCGGTCCCTTCTCCTCTCATGCCTCTGCTCAAGACACCCAACCTCAAGGAGACCCCAGGGCTCTCTCACATCACCTTGAAGTTAGCTTGTTGATTTATTTTCCTTCTTGCCTGGCACTCAGCCCCTACCTCTGTTGTCCTCAGCCCCAGAAGGGTCTTGCTCCTTTGCTCTGCTCTGTCTGCAAAACTGGGCTGGGGTTATAGTGGGCACTCCACAAATATATGTGAGTTGATGGACTCCTTTAATTCCTGGTCTTTGTCTCTCTGGCTGTGCGTGTGTGTGTGTACGCACGTGCGCAGGCAGGCTCACCGCTCACCTGTGTCTGTCATCTCTTGCTGGGTCCTTGCTGTGTTTCCCTGTGTCTCTGTGTCTGTGCGTGCCTGTCTCTGTCTCCCTTGCTGTCTTTCTTCACAGTTCCTGCTGGCCCACGCTGTCCGGGCCTTTGCCCTTCTGCTCCAGCCCCACCCTACCTCAGGCGGCCCCACCCTGCACCCTGTGGCCCCAGATAAGGGGCTGCGCTTCTTGGGGGAAGGGGACGTGGGCAGAAGGAAGACCCTGAGGGAGCAAGGTGGGAAGGATGAGGAGGAGATAGGGAAGCTGGGTGGGCCAGAGACTGACTGAGCAGCCTCCTCCCACACCCCTACCCTAGGCAGCCGGATAAGCTGGTGGTGGTGTGGACCCGGCGGAACCGACGCATCTGCTCCAAGGTGGGGAGGATGGCAACTGTGGTCCAGGCTGGGGATGGGGCCAATGCTGGGGCGAGGGTGGGGAAGGCTCGCCCAAGACTCTGCGGGAGTGGAGCCAGGTTCAGGTTCAGATCAGAATCCATGGAGGGGAAAGGAACATGGGGTCAAGGTGGGAGATAAGGGCATGGAGGGGAGAGTTAACATTGCGGGGAGGACTCAGACTGGCCCTTGTAGGCCCACAGCTGGCAGCCAGGCATCGAGAACCCATACCGGGGCACCGTGGTGTGGATGGTTCCTGAGAATGTGGACATCTCTGTGACCCTCTACAGGGTGAGTCTCTAGCCCTCCAGCACAGACGGGAATGGGTAGGCAATTGCAACCCTGGGCAGCCACCGAGTCCCCTGGTAGGTTATTCATCCAAATAGAAAAGAATAGAGGAGTGAGAACAAGAATTAGGGAGGAAGCTGGACGAAGTGGCTCACACCTAGCACTCTGGGAGGCCCAGGCGGGAGGATCGCTTGAGCTCAGGAGTTCCAGACCAGGCTGAGCAAGACCGAGACCCCATCTCTACTAAAAATAGAAAAATTAGGTGGTGCTTGAGCCTGTAGTCCCAGCTACTCAGGAGGCTGAGGCAGGAGGATCACTTGAGCCCAGGAATTTGAGTTTGCTGTGAGCTATGATGATGCCACTGTAGTCTACCCAGGGTAGGGTGACGGAGCAAAACTCCGTCTCAAAAAAAAAAAAAACAAAAAAAACCAGAATTGGGGGGTATACTCAGCTTGAGTGGTCTGGGAGGTCTCCTTGGAGGAGGCAGCGTTTAGCCAACACATGCAGATGAGAGACAGCTGGGGTCAGGTGCTGGCTGCCTCCCAGGAGGAGGCAAGAGCATGTGTGAAGGCCCCCACCAAGCCCCTCCTGAGACAGTGCCCCCCAGCAGCCCTGTACTCACCAGTGTCCCCTCTTCCCAGGACCCACACGTGGACCAGTATGAGGCCAAAGAGTGGACATTTATTATTGAGAACGTGAGTGGCTGGGTGGGCTGGGACCTGGGATCTTGGGGACCCTGAGGCAGCGCTGATGTCCCTTCCCCTGGTCCCTCCCCTGACCCACAGGAGTCCAAGGGGGGGCAGCGGAAGGTGCTGGCCACGGCCGAGGTGGACCTAGCCCGCCATGCGGGGCCCGTGCCTGCCCATGTTCCACTGCGGCTGCGGCTGAAGCCCAAGTCGGTGAAGGTGGTGCATGCTGAGCTGAGCCTCACTCTCTCAGGGGTGCTGCTGCGGGAGGGCCGTGCCACGTGAGTGCCCATCTGCCCTTCTTGGCCCTGGCCAGAGGCCTCTGACCCCAGCCCTCATCTCTGACCTCTGACCCCCAGGGACGATGACATGCAGAGTCTTGCAAGCCTCATGAGCGTGAAGCCTAGTGATGTGGGCAACCTGGACGACTTTGCTGAGAGTGACGAGGATGAGGCTAATGGCCCAGGGGCCTCTGAGGCCCGGGCTCGAGTGCCCCAGCCAGGTGGGCTCACAGCCTGCCGTGGATGGAGATTGCCAAGACCTGGGGAAGGTGGGGGGTGCCCGGCCCACGAGCCACTTGCTGTGCTGGCGCAGGGCCAGCTTCTGCCCACCAGTGTTGGAGCTCATTACTGCCCAGGCAGTCCCAACCTGCCCAGAAGCCCTGATTGTCCCAGCTGGGTCCCTGTGCTGGCCTTGGGCCTTAGCGGAGTCCTGCAGGATGGGTTCCCAATGCCTCCCCATTCCCCTGGCTCTCTCCTCATCCCTGGGTGGTGCCTGTCCAGGCCCGTGCCTGACCTGACACGGCTGGGTCAGAGCCCGGATGGAGCTGCAGGCCAGTCTCCCCACCCCTCCCCACCCACTCCTGGCTCAGCTCCGGGCTCCCTCATCCCTCCCTTCTGCTTGGTGAGTCTTTTTCTCTGTCCACTGTTGTGGTTCTCTCTCTCTTCTCTCTGCATCTGTGGGCCTGTCTCTTCTTGAAGGCAGGGGCGGTGCCCTGAGGCCGGGGCGTTTCCCAGGTAGGCCCTGCACTCTATCTTGGGGGAGGGGGTCAGAGCTGCAGGGCCCTGCCTAGGCTGACTCTGCCCTTCCACCCCCTACTCCAGCCCCCTCTAGGGAGCTGAAGACACTTTGTGAGGAGGAGGAGGAGAGCCGAGTCCGATCCCAGCAGGCAGGTGAGGCCTGGACTGCGATTGGGGTGGGGACTGGACCCCTGGAGCCCAGGCCTCAGTACCCCTCCCTTCCTTCCCCCCCCCAGCTGCCAGACCTAGTGCCGAGGATACCAGCCCAGCCCCTGTGAGTGCCCCTGTGCCCCCGGCCAGGGCCTCTCGGGGCCAGGGGTCAGAACCAGCTACTGTAGCAGGGGGCCAGGTGGGGCCTGAGGGCCCAAGGCCCCCGGGAACCCCACCAGAGATGAGGTGAGCTTTGGAACGAGCCCCCCGCCCCACTGTTAGGAGCTGCACTTCCCCCACCAACCTGCCTCTGCAGTGCCCCAGCAGTCTGAAGGGGGGCGGTGGAGCTGAAAGTTGGGGATGCAGGAGCCCCCCAACACTCCCTTCTGTTCTCTCCTCAGTTCTTCGAGGCAGCCAGGCCAGGACGTGGCCCCCGCCCCGGCTCCTCGGCTCCGGAAAGGCTCTGACACCCCCCGGCCCCCAATCCTCCAAGGGGAGGATGAAGTCCCCAAAGCCTCAGGGACTCCCCCAGCAGGAATGGGTTCTTCCAGGGAGACCCAGGCCCGGGCAAACCTTCAGGAAGGGATGGAGGCCCACGGAGCTAGGCTGGGCCCAGGCATTGAGGATGAAAGCTCCAGAGACTCTTTGGGAGCGCAGAAACCCAGGGTTGAAGAGGGGGCCACTGGGGACAGGCCAGAGGCTAGTGGGATGGACACTGAGCACAGGTCAGGAGTTGGAGAGGTGAACACTAAGAGGCCAGGGGTAAGAGCGGGGCAGGCTGAAGAGAGTTCAGAAGTTTGTCAAGTAGATGCTGAGCAGAGATCAAAAGTGAGGCATGTGGACACTAAGGGACCAGAGGCTACAGGGGTGATGCCTGAGGCAAGATTCAGGGGGACTCCTGAGGCTCCTCCAAGGGGCTCTCAGGGGAGGATGGGAGTCAGGACCAGGGATGAGGCCCCCACAGGCCTGAGCCCATCCCCAGCAGAGCCCACAGGGCACTCTGAGCATCTCAGTGACCTCAAGGGGGCCAGTGCTGCTACAGGCCAGGAGAGAGAGGGTGCAGAGGTGAGGGGTGGAGCCCCTGGTGTTGAGGGGACAGGCCTGGAGCAGGGCCCCTCTGTTGGAGCAACAAGCACCAGCCCCCAGGTGAGCAGGTATCAGGGGGCCCGGTCATCAGCTGATCAGGGGGCAATGTCTAGGGACCTGGGGGTCTGTGAGGCAGAAGCTGGCGAGTCAAGGGTCCTGGGAACAGAGACTGAGGTGGCAGAGTTGGAGGTATTGCAGACCCGGCAGGGAGAAGTGGGGGGCTCAGGCTTCCCAGAGCTAGAGACTGGGACATTAGAAGCTGAGACACTGGGGGCACAGGAGACAGAGGCAGCAAGATTAGGGGTCCTGGAGTCAGGGGCTGCTGGGACAGCAGAGTCTGAGGTACTGGGGACCCAAGAAACAGAGGCTCAGGGTTCAGATGTTCTGGGGATAAGAGCTAGGATAACAGAGATTGAGATATTGGGGACCCCAGAAATATCTGGGGGTTCAGGGGTACTGAGGATAGAAAATAAAATAGAATCTGAGATATTGGGGGCCCTGGAGACAGAGGTGGGAGGTTCCAGGATACCAGAGACAGAGGCTGGGGGGACAGAGGCTGAAATATTGAGGACCCAAGAGATAGAAGTTGAGAGTTCAGGGGTCCCAGGGATAGAAGCTGAGGTAGCAGGGACCCAGGAGGCAAAGGTAGGGGGTTCTGCGGTTCCAAACTCAGAGGAAGGGACAGCAGAAGCTGAGATATTGGGGACCCAGGAGATAACAACTGGTGGCTCACAGGTCCCAGGGATAGAAGGTGAGACAGCAAAGACTGAGATATTGGGGGCCCAGAAAACAGAGATAGAGGGTTCAGAGGTTCCAGTGATAGAGATTGGGACAGCAGAAGCGGAGATATTGGGGGCCCAGGAGATAACAGCTGGAGCCTCAGTGGTCCCAGGAATAGAAGCTGAGGTAGCAGGGACCCAGGAGACAAAGGTAGGGGGTTCTG